TAATTTTTTCATCCTTTTTTTTTTTAACGAACGAGTTTGACCGGATGCGGTCAAAATATTACAGGTTTCGGTCAAGACGAGTCGATCGTCGCCAAGGTTGTGATATTCAATTTTGTTGGTTCGATCGTAAAAGATGTGATTCGGCTGACCGATTTGATAGGAAACACATCTGTCTTCGGCTATGTGCGAGAAGGATATAAATATCTTTATTCTTTGAAAAAAAATATAAATATATTCTTTAATTTAAAATATATTTCTTTAAAAATAAGATTGAAAAAAAAAATCCAAATTATTGACATGGAATTTCTGATTTTATTATAAAAGATAAAATGTTACAAGAAATATAACATAACTTCTTCTGATAAAGAAAGGTGCATAACATACATTTATTTGTTCTTTATATATTTTATTGTCTTATTTTTAATAGTTATAATATTATATTGTCTTTTTTCTACTTCCTAATTTTTTACACATATTCTACATTTAAAAATACATTAAAAAATGTCATTAGACACTCTTTAATATTTTTTTGATCAATTATTAATACAAGCAATCGTACACACAATGCTTAATAATTTAAAACGCCAATATACGTTGTTCTTTTTTTTTAGCAATAAATAGTATAGCAAAATAACAGAAGGATACGTATATGAAAATGGCTAGCTTGATATTGGTAAGCTTGATGAATTGAGAAATATTAATTAAGCAATTCGATTTATGCCGAAACTATCTTTATGGCGTAAGAATACATATTGAAAAAAAGATATTTCAACACTTCAAATTAATATAATTATCCGTTATAAAAACGCCCAATCTCTTGGCGATAATCGATTGATTAGCGCGTGACAAATTTCTGTTTCGCAGGTGCAGCCTGATTACGGCGATCTTGCTGATAAGGCGCTTTCTTATTTTTCCAGCTTCCGATTAAACTCGTTTTACACGATCCATAATTTCTTACAGATTCTTTAGAACAGAATTCAATAATAATTATAGCTAATATAATTCGTAATATAACGTATCACATAAAAAATTCTGATTTGTAGAAAAATATACTTACGGTATCTGTGCAATATATACTGATGTACTGAATATATTACTGATAATATAATCTTAATATATAAATTAATATAAATTAAATTAAATTACTCTTAAATTAAATTAATCTTAAATATTAATTAAATTTTTGAATGTCATGTTATATTTATATTTGATATATTATAATACTACATGTGTGTGTTTGTGTTATACAAAATTATGAAAAAAAGCTATAAAGAATTATGAAAGATTTTGTAACACACAATATCCATGTGTAAAAAAATGTTTAATACAAGACAGTTTATAAAAATGAACTTTTCAATTTCGTTCCAAAAATTTTACATAGTCTAAAACAGACTTTATACCGCTTGCTTGCATATTTTTGAATCGTGAAAGACCGGAGATAATTGAACAAGTAGATCACAGAGAAACATCGAGACTTCACGCCAAGAAAGAGAGAGAAAGATCGTCGAAGTTTTTTTATCAACTTACTATCTTGTTTTCACTCATAAAAGGGACCACCCGAACGTAACACTTAGCTTCCGGGCAAGTTTATGCAAAATGCATCTGAAATCTGCATGCATCGAGTTTTCGTGTTCGACAAGGTTTGACATTCTTCGAATATGCAAAAAACATCACTATGACGGATTAATAATCAATCTCTTCTTTCACGCTTACTTTCATTTGCGAATGGGTCAAAAGAGAAGTGAGAAACTCTCGAAGAGATATAAAGCTAAAAAATAATATTTTAAAAATAAAATTTTAAACTTTCTATTCTTTTAATTTCTTTTAATTATAAATATATTTTTCTATAGTTTTATGCTTTATTTTATCAATTAACTAAATTACGACAATAATATTATTTTGTTTAGAAAATAGAACATATATTATAGAATGTATATTTAATTATTATAAAATAAATAATTTTTTTACAGATAATATGTGTTATCATTATAGAATTTATAGGATTATCATTATAGAAAATTTGTATTTTAAATATTTTTGCTGATCCACGATATATTAAAATATGTGAAGAGAATACATTTAAATATGAAATTGTAGATTATATCAGTTTTTCTGTAAATATGATTTTTTATATTAATATAACTGTAATATAACTAACTTTTATATTAATATAATTAATATATAAGTAAGATATTTTTATATGTTTACATGATAAACATAAAGGGTGTAGCTCAGTACATGTTGCAAAAGAAACATTCTAAAAGTCACTGGCACCTAATAAACGATTTATAAGCAATGGCCTTGTTCCAGCGACATTTTGACGAATTTGCAAGTTTTGGTTTCAAGTTCTTTCATGAAACAGGATCTGATAAAAAAAGTAATTGATTGCGCCTCATTTTTAAGCCTTGTTTTATCCTTACTGAAAACCTTTATTAATAATATATATAAGTATTATTAAAATATTTAGCCAACAATTTTTTCTATTTCTTCTTTTTTATTTTTTAAGATTTATTAATAATTATTAATAAA